GGAAATGCAAATTAAACCAAAAGAAATATCCTTACTGGAAGAGCTCAATAAAAACATAATAGCAATAACAAGTGGCACAGTAAATGTCAAATATATACTGCTATGGGACATAAAATTGTTTAGCCACTCTGAAGTGTATGGAAAGTTCATTACAAAGCTAAACATGAAAGTTGCATGTTCAAATAGATACATTTACCCAGAGAAATAAAAATACAGTTCTTTGCAAAAACTTACACATAATTATTAATAAACACGTTGTTCATTTTACCCCAAAACTGGAAACAACCCTCATATCCATTATCAGATGCATGGCTCAACACACTGCATCTACACCACAGAATAGGACTCAAAATAAAAAGGACAACAATGATATGCAACAGTGATATGCAACAACCTAGATTCTCAGTAGAATTGTGCTGAGTAGGGATGGGGGGATGATGCTAACAGACCAGGGTTACATGCTGGATGATTCAATTTATGCTGCATTCTCAAAATGACACATCACACAGAGAACGTAGTAGTTGTGCCAGGAGTTAGAAATGGTACTGGAGGGGAGCTCTGGTGGCCTAGTGGCAAGAAGCTGCACTGCAATCCCAGAGGAGCACAGTTCGAATCCACCAGATGCTATGCCGGGAAAGGAGGGACAATCTCCTCCTGTACCAGTCAGATCTGATTTGACGGTACACGCACAAGCACAAATAATAAAAATTTAAAAATTTTAAAAAACCAACTTGCATTATGCAAGTAACAAAACTTTAAAAAATAAAAGAAATGGTACTGGAAAGTGAGTAGGTGAGAGTTTGAGGGGCAGCAGGAAGTAGATCTTTGTGACAACTGCACAGATCCACCCAAGTATTAGGTGACACCGAGTTAAGCACGCACATCATATAGTGTCCTACTTTTGATATTATTTGGTATTATACTACTTTTGGTATTATAAGACATAACCATTGAGAGAAGAAGACTTGAATGTACTATCTTCACAACATTTTCTAAATTTATAATATTTTTCAAATAAAAAGTTGTGAAAATGAAAATGAAAAGACTACAGCAGGCTAAATTAAGCAACCTAAAAGGAGCTGGTCTGGCTGGAATGTGATGGACAAGAGAGAAGTGGGTGGGCCAGGTCACAGCAGGGCTCAGGGAAACCAAGGCCTCTGATGGAATCTCAATTGTACAGGGTACTTGGTTCAGGCAAGAGAAAGCTAGGACCACCCCCATACAACCCCCCACCCCCACCCTCACACACACACACACACACCCGCACATGAGCCTGGTAACTCTGACAGAGTGAGAGTGAACTGGAGAGGCAGAGACAGGACTAGGTTTCTGATGTCCTGAGGAGGACGTGCAGGAAGGGAGGATCTGAAATCCAGGATGAGTGTGGAGCAGAGGTCCTGCGGTCAGGATGGTGGAATAGAATGGAACGCACCTGGAACATGGAGGCGGAAGGAGACCTTCTGGCCCCCGGCCTCACAGCTGTACTCCCCGGCGTCTGCCTTGCCCGCCTGCTGCACCACCAGCCGCCGCGCTTGGCCAGTGGCCTCCACACGCACCCTCGAGCTCGAGCTCAGCTTCTTGCCGTCCTTGTACCACATCACCTCCGTCTGGGCCTGGGCCACCTCACAGCTCAGTGTGGCGCTGGTACCCATTTCTGCCCGAACCTCACTCTGTGTGGGCTGTTCCTTGGCAAACACCACCGGGGGCTCTGGGAACAGAGAGACTTGGCATAAGAGCCATTATCTAAGTTGGGAAGAAAGCACTTAGCAAAGGCCCAGAAGGGAGCCAAAAGATGTGGAAGCTACTCCAGTCCCCACCTCTAGCTTTTGACCTGGAGGCATCCCGGGCCCTGCCTTGCCACCCAAACACACACTGCTCTAATCCACCTTGAGAGGGAGATGAGCAGTCTCTGCCTGTGCAATTTACCACCTTTGAAAACCCCCTGGAGTGTCAGTTATGGGTCAGTTCCAACATTTACCACGGTGTATTCACACCTCCTAAGGCTGATGGCATGAGTGTCACTCCTGTTGGGATGCACTGTGACATGGCTCCTGTGCACACAGGGCTTTAGGGGAGGACTGGGGCTCAGATGACCACAGCCTTCAGTCTAATCAGTTAACACCAGAAGTTCCTTCAAAATGCAGTTACAGGAACATTCCCACCAGCAGAGCAGGGAAGTTCCTGGATTTCCAAAGCCAAGTCAACTCTTAGGATATCAGTGTTCTCATCCAGCTGCAGGGCATATGGTTCTATCTTCCCCTCTTTCACGTGCACTGTCCTGATGGCTGATCTAGGGGAGCTGCTCTCCCAAGTTTGTTAGCCATTTCTTCTTGCTCTCCTGTCACTGTCAAAGTCTTTCTCCCGTTTTTCAATGTCACTGTCTGTCTCATATTTGGTATTTTAGAGATCTATATCTTTAAATGCTGTAAGTATTTTTCCCAGCAAACAAAGTTGTTACCACTTCCAGAAGACTCACCTGTGACGCCCAGATGGAAGGAGATCTTCTGGCCCCCGGCCTCACAGCTATACTCCCCGGCGTCCGCCTTGCTCGCCTGCTGCACCACCAGCTGCCGCCGACAGCCTGTGGCCTCCATGCGCACCTTCGAGCTCGAGCTCAGCTTCTTCCCATCTTTGTACCACGTCACCTCTGTCTGGGCCTGGGCCACCTCGCAGCTCAGCGTGGCGCTGGCCCCCACCTCTGCCTGCACCTCACTCCGTGCTGCCTGGCCCTTGGCAAACACCACTGTGGGTTCTGGGGACAGGAAAGACATCTGGTCAGAAATTCAAAGCTGGTGCCACTCTGTTCCACAGACACCAAAATTCCAGAGTTCAATAAAGTTCCCCTTGAATCCAGTGATATCATTTGTCCTGTGGGCTGCCAGGCTTGTGTTCACAAACCCAAGGGAAATTAGGAGGGTGTGTACTGGCCATCAGTAGCTATTGTCAAGCAGTTTTGCAAATTGGTTTTGTCCACTTACAGTGCCACAGAGTTGCATGTACATAGTTTAAGGATGTCCTGACTGGAGCAATTCCTAACACTCAAGGAAGGTGGCAGAGTTATTGGCTTATTTTTTTTCTCACATGACAGCCAACAAATGGGACAGAGTTTTCTTGCTTACAACAGCAAAACCTGTGAGAGTTGGAATTCCACGGGATTGCCTTGTTTACTGGGTCTTGAAAGTTTTCTACCTTTGACAAAGCACAGCCTTAGCACCTTTTTATCATTCATTTGAATGGGAAATGTTTAGATTTTCTTCTCTGATAGACTGCCACCTTACACACATTCCAAGTTGGCAGGACTTATTATACTTTATGCCTACTTTGTGGCAATACTATATCCTCCATAAACTTTATTTTTTTTTTATCAAGCTATGCTTTACAAGTAGGAATTGTCACTCTACAGTTTCATGAACTTTATGTATAGGTATCCCCAAATAATCATCATATACATCAAATAAAAACTAGTTCTGGCTTCTTAGTCACCATTTACCTAGAAAGACAACCAACATGTTGACTACATCACTATACACCACTTTGCCTGTAATGAATTTCATATCAATGGAACTGCACATTATATGCTTTCTGTGTCTGCTTTATAAAATTTAATATAATGACCATAATATCTCTCGATGTTGTTGGATGTAGCCAAAGCTTGCTGTCTATTGCTGTATAAGATGCAACTGTACGAATACATCACATTCCTTTTCCCTTTTCTGTTGAGGGTCATTTGGGTCACTTCTAAATTGGGGAGGCTATGAACCGTTCTAGGAGCCCTAGTGCTGCAGATGACACTAAGTCATTAGACTGCTAAGTGAAAAGTTAGTGGTCCAAACCCACCAGCTACTTCAGTCTGCTCTTGTCAAGATTTACAGTCAGTACAACCACTCTGGAAGGCAGTTTGGCACCTCCTCAAAAGGCTGAACATAGAAATTCCATATGACCCAGCTATTCCATTGCTTTGAATCCACCTCAAGAAAATAAGACCTGAGGCTCAGACAGAAACTTGTACACCAATATTAATAGCAGCATTATTCACCATCACAAGAACATGGAAACAGCCCAGATGTCCACCCACAAACAAATGGATTGAGAAGTTGTGGTACATTCATACAATGGAATTCTACACAGCATGCAGGAGCAATCACATTGTTTACTACCTAACTTGGGAGGGACTGGAGAGCTTTATGCACAGTGAACTAACTCAGTTCCAATAAGGACAAATACTGTATAAAACCATTATTGTAGGATGAGTATGAAGATCTAAGGGGGGGGAGGGGGGAAATAAAGGGGTGAGGATGGGGGGAGGGTGTTAATCATGTTGTTGTTGTTGTTATGTGCCGTCGAGTCGCCTGCGACTCATAGCGACCTAGCATTACCTAATTTAATGGGTGGGTGGGATGAAGGAGATGGGAAGGATCTTTTGTGGAAAACAATGTATTCAAACTTTATAAATAAATCAGTCATATTAAAAAATTTAAAATGAAAATAGATAAAAAATATTTACAACCACACAAATCCAAAGGGGCAATTCTACTCTGGTCTATAAGGTCATTATAACTTGAAATCCACTTAATGGCAAATAGTTATGAAAAATTTTGTGCAAGTCTTTGGTTCATATATGTAATTGTTAGGAAATTAACGAGTGTGTATTGTAAGTAGATATTATCAAGCAGTTTTGTAAATTGGTTTTGTCCACTTACAGTCCCACCAAGAGTGTGGGAGAGTTTCAGTTGCTCTGTCTCCTTATTAGCACTTGATACTACAAAACTGAGTCACTGAGGACCCAAGTCCCCATGAAAAACAAAAAGGGAGAACTGAGTTCCATACTCTGCTTATTTCCTGTCAAGATGTGTGATGAGTTTTAAAGACACACAGGTCTAGGAGATAAGAAGCCAGGAGAAAACTTATGAAAGCAAAGAACAGCTTTAGCATTTATCAATGATTAAAAACAAATATTAGACTTAAAAGTTAGCTAGGGGAGGGGGAGAGGGCCCTGACACACTCCCTCAAGCTTCTAGCTGGACTTCTTGGAGGACTTTTACCCAGAATCAAGAAAGAACCAGATGACCCTAAGCATAATTGCAAAGCATCCTGAGGTCAGCTGAGGTCCCTGAGTGGAAGAACATACTTAGTCCTTGGTCTGCTTAGCCAAGCATTCTCTCTCAGGAGTAACATTGCATCACCCATCTTCAAGAATTTTCACAAATAACGTCTGAAAAGCATCATGTCAACCAAGCATCTTACAGACATGCCAAAGACAGGAGCAAATATTAGAGGGTAGAGAAAGACCATATCTTTTGAGTTGGATAATAGAGATATCAGTCCACACAATAGTAACAATTAATCTTTTAGTATAAGAAGTAAAGATGTCAATATGGAAAAGATTCATTTCACCAGGAAACTGAATTCCATTTTAAAAACCAGTACATTTTAAATTATAGAGCATGAAAATGCAATTATTGAAATTAAACACATCACAATAAACAGCTGGATTGGTAGCAAATTAAAGTCAATATAACAGAAGATTAGGATATTAGAGATAGTTTTTTAAAAGCTATTCAGATTAAAGCAGAGAAAAAGAAAGGATTAAAAGATTAAAAGATAGACATAGATAAACACATGCCAGACCTGTCCACACACATGCCAGACCTGTGCAAATTAACAGGAAGATCTGATATAGGTCTAATGAGGAGATGGAGTACCGGAGAAAGGAAAGGAAATGAGGCAAAAACAGAACAGATAAGAATTTTCTATGTCCAATGAAAGACAATAACCCACAAGCAGGGCAAAGCCACTGCGGTTCAGCATTAAATTGCTAAAGTCCTGAAATCAAAGATAAAATGTAAAAATATGTAGGTGAATAAAGATATGTGACCCAAATGAATCACAGTAAGTTTGACAGCTGATATTAGAAAGAAATGTGCATTATTCTAGAATTAAGAGGAAGAATTTGATACCTTGGAAAAAATAGACTTCAGCACTTTCTAAAGACATTTTAAGGAACTAAAAGAAATAGAGAAAGTTCGCCTGCTAAAAGAAATCCTTTTCTTCAGACAGAGTTCTTTAAGCAGAAGGAAAATTATTCCAGAGTACCGGACTTAAATTCTGTCTTTGTAATTTTCTAACTGTGCAGCCTTTGGAAAATTATAAAACTTTCTTGTAGGTGAATAAATTGTCTTGTGCCTTATCTTAAAACAGAAATAACTACAACTTTCTTAAGAGTTGTAAAATGTATGCAAAAAATAGGACAAGAAGTTATCTATCTATCTATGCTGAGGCCATATAGTGCCTGGTAGCTACCACTGATATGTTTTACTGGGGTCACAGTAGATGGTCCTAGATAAAGCAGGAGAAAGGTATGGAGCAGAATGTAAATTCTTAAAGAAGAGAGGAAACCAAAGCCAGACAAACTAGAACAGCAGAGAGCAGAGGACTCTCAGAGCCTGGCTCCTGAGACATTCTGTAAACCTAAAATTAGTCTATTGTCTATTGTCTATGAGTGCCTTTTAGTGAAATAGCAAAGTGACACACAAAAATTAAGGATTTTACCCATAAGATCTGTACTCCACTTAGAAGTCATCTGCGACCAAAACGTCCACAATTACTTAAAAAGCACATATGAGAAGATAAGAGGGTAGAAAAGAGTACTGAAGAACAAACAACACAAAGATGACACAATGCAAAAAGTGTCAGACAGTAGTAACCTAATTTGTGTAAATTTTCACAAAACGTCAATAAAGTCTTTGCTCTTAGCAAATACCTTTAAACGACTGTGATAGTGAGGCCTTTGTGAGAAACCAAGCCATGAGGCAGCATGTTCATCCCTTAACCCCGGTACCTAATGCCACTGCTAAGCATGGAACCCACCTGTGACGTCCAGACGGAAGGAGACCTTCTGGCCCCCGGCCTCACAGCTGTACTCCCCGGCGTCCACCTTGCCCACCTGCTGCACCACCAGCCGCCGCACTCGGCCAGTGGCCTCCATGCGCACCTTCGAGCTCGAGCTCAGCTTCTTTCCATCTTTGTACCATGTCACCTCTGTCTGGGCCTGGGCCACCTCACAGCTCAGTGTGGCACTAGCCCCCGCCTCAGTTTGCACCTCATTTTGTGCTGGCTGTTCCTTGACAAACACCACTGCAGGCTCTGGGGACAGAGAGGGACATGTGGTCAAAAACACAAGCCTAGAACTGATGCTTTTCACAAACATCAAAGCACTAAATTTCCTCTTAAGCTCAGTATTATGTGTCCCACGTGCTATTAGGCTTGAACTCACATACAAGAACCCATGTCATAGAGTTTCAAGCATAACATTTGAAGATATCCTGACTTGAGCACTATCTAGACTGGTGGGAGGTGGTAGAGGGTGTTACAGTCCTTGTAACTAATAATTTATTGCCTTTTCCATGTGACATTAAGTGCTGGGAGAGCAAAGAAGGGCTATCTTATTCACTATTTTCACTTTCAGATACTACTGTTGTTGTTGTGTGGCTTGCCGTTGAGTCGAGCATGACTCATAGAGACCCAATAAACAAAAAACCTGAAGCCTTTCTGTAACTATCATCGTTTCTCTATGTTCATAAAGTTTCCAGAGGCATGTAGTATAGGAAGCAGCTGCCATTCCTGCTTTCAAACCTCTCTTAAACTGGGTGCCCCACCAAACACTGTCCACCATGGATAACTGTTATGGCATTTCACACCACAATGGCACAAGGTTCAGCATCAGGGCTACCCCAGGTTATCTCAGTACAGCATATTGAAAGAAGAGTGCTGGACCACTTAGAAGAATGCTCCTACAAAATAACAACTGACTTTTAAATCCAAAGGCCCTCCCCGAGGTCTTACTATGTACTCCAAAATGTTAGTCCTTTTATAAAGAAATAGTGTAGATGGAATAAAATTCAGTAACTATATAGTTCAATGATGTTTACATACATATTCCCCATATAACCACTATACAAAGCAAACACAATTTTCAGGCACCCATCACTCCTAACACCCTAAATGGTGGCTAATTCTCATCTCTAGCCCCATAAGCTACCTTTGCCTTTGCCTGCTTCTTTAATTTCACATGAATGGAAGAACATTATGAGTATGTTAAGTACTGTTTATGTTTGTTCTGTTTACTCAACATAATGCCATAAAATTCATCTATGCTGTTGGATTTAACAGGATTTTCTTGGGGGATTTTCCCTACTGCTGGGTAATAGGGTATTTATGAACACATTATAAGCTATTCTTTTTCCTCATAAGGGTCATTTGGGTGATTTCTAATTTGAAAATACTATGAAGAGATGTGCTAGCAGCATTTTTTTATATCTCAGTGGTAGGCATATGAAACTACTGGGACATAGTGTATATCAATGTAGGACCATATTTGCATCTACCAGGTATTGCTAAATTTGTTTCCAAAGTGATTGTAACACCTTACATCTTACATATGCACCAGCTGTGTATGAGACTTCAAGTTGCTCCAAAGCCACACCATTTATGTGCTCAACCTCAAATTGTCAAACTTAGATGAATATATGTATAATCTGAGGTTTCAAGTTCCATTCACTTTCAATTTTTTCATTCATTCAATCATTCAGTACTAACGTCAATGAAGAAAGGTCTCCTGTGTGCCAAGCACTTGGAATTTTTAGCAGTTCTTTGTCAGTGCACTGTTCCAACCACTTTTTAAATAATCTACAGCAAGATTTTACTTGCCTGTGATATTCATAATATTGTTTAATATTTCTGTGTTCCATTGGATTTTTTTTAATAGGCACAAATATAGATCTCATAGAGTCAGCTGGGCAGGTAGCTGTCTTCCGAATTTGTTGACATAGACAAATAAGCTTGTCCAGGTCTAGATTTGTTCACTGAGACACCTCAATTAATATGCCATCAATTCCTGGAGTGGTGGTACTGATTCTTGGAATTGTTCCAAGTCAACCAATTCTTTTTGGTACGATGACTGTGTGCCTTCCTTCCATCTCTTTTGACGTTTCCTGCATCATTCAATATTTTGCCCATAGAATCTTACAGTGATACCACTCACAGTGTTGATCATTTTTTTCTCATTCTTTCAATTTGAAAAATGCTGAGCATGTTCTTTTATTTTGGTTTTCACAGGTCCTTTGTTTATTTCATTATGATGCTTTGTTTTGTCTTCTTGAGATATATTTTTATATCTTCTGTTCAGTTCTCTTAGTCCATCATCTCTTCTTTTCTCTTTTGATTCTTTTCAATAAAGTTTCAAAAACTCTTCTGACATTCATTTTTGACATTTCTTACTTTCCTGTCCTTTTAATGATCTTTTGCTTTCTTCAAATATGATGCCCTTGATGTCATTCTACACTGGTCTAATTTTTGGGTTTTAGTGTTCAAAGCATCAAATCTATTCTTGATACGGTCTTTAAAGGTGGGATATATCCAAGATCATATAGGTCATATTTTCATTGTCCTGTGCTTGTTTTCATTTCCTTCAGCTTCAACTTGAACTCGAAAGTGAGCAATCATTGGTCTGTTCTACAGTGGGCCCTGGTCTTGTTCTAACTGATGACACTGAACTTCTCCACTGCGTCTATTTGATTTCTGTATATTCCATTGGGTGAGGTTCATCATGTGTATTGTCATCATTTGCTTTTTGGAAAAGGTATTTGTAATGTATATATCATTAATTGTACAAAATTCTACTATGAATAATCTGGGCTCATTTCTATCATCAATCCTTTTTTCTCCACCCCAATTTTTGGATTCCAAACATCAACAGTTATCAGTGCATCTTGATTGAAAGTTTGATCAATTTCACACTGCATAAATTGACAGAAACCCCCAATTTTTTCACTCTTGGCTTTTATGGTTGGGCATAAATTTGAATCATTCTTATATTAACTTGTCTTCCTTGTATATACATGAATATTATCCTACCACTGACAGCACTGTACATCAGGATAGATTTTTAAATGCTCTGTTTTACAATGAATATGACACTATTTCTCTTCAATATGTTATTCTCAAGATAGAAGTTCATGTGGTCATCTGATTTAAAAAGGTCAGTGCCATTCCATTTCAAGACATTCATGCCTAGGATATCCATCCTCCTATTCCATTTCCATTTCTGTCTGCATTTTATTCCACTTCATTTTTTACAACTTTCACTTTTCTTAGATCCATACTTTGTATAGCCCATGTTCTAATTATTAAGGAATACCCACATTTATTTCTCCTCATGAGTCAAATCACATGAGTAAATGAAGGCCTCCCACTGACTGCACACTGTTCTGAACCAATATGATTAAAGTAGGCTTTACTTTGAGGAGGCATTTCTTCCCTAGTAAATTCCCTAGGCATTTACTGCCTTCAACCTTGAGGCAATCATTGTCCAGCACTGCATCAAACAATGTTTCACTGGTACTCATAGGGTTTTCAAGGGTTCATTTTTTCACAAGTGAGTTACCAGCCCTGCTTCCTAGTCCATCACATTCTTCTTCATAAAGTACAGCCTCTCAAATGATCTGTTCTATATATAGACTGAAATGGAATGGAGAAGGGATACATCCCTGATGCACTCCTTTCTTGATTTTGAACCACGCAGTGGTCCCTTGCTCTGTTCAGATGACAGCTTCCTGGTCTGAGTATAGGTTTTGCAGGAACACAATGAAGTGCTCTGGGGCTCACATTCTTCTCAGTGTCAGCCACAATTTGTTGTGAGTCACAGAGTCAAATGTCTTTGCATAGTTGATAAAACACAAATAGACATCCTTCTGGTACTCTCTGCTTTCAGCCAAGAGCCATATGACGTCAGTAATGAAATCCCTAGTGTCACGGCCTCTTTTAAACTCAGCTTGTATTTCTGGGAGTTCTCTGTTGATGTATTGTTCTAAAACTACCATGTTGTTGTTGTTGTTGTTGTTGTGTACCACAGAGTCAGAACTAATTCATAACTGACCCTTCAGCAGGATTTCAGAGACTATAAATCGCACAAAAGGTGACTGCCCATCTTTCTTCTGTGGAGTAACTGGTGGATTTGAACCAAATACATTTCTGGTGGCCTACTGCTAAGAAACTGTGCTGCAATTTCAAAGGTATGCAGTTCAAATCTGGTCAGCTCAGTTCAGAGGGTTGCTCATTATGAGCCACATTCGACAGCATCTAACAATAACAACCACAAGCTACTGGAGCTATTCCACTCTAGGCAAATGCCCAAAAGAGGAGAAAGCAGAAATTTAAACACATTCTTGTAAAGTAATGGGCACTGCAACACAATAATCGTAACCAAAAAGTACAAACAACTGAAATGTCTTTCAACAGATGAATGGATAAACAAAATGGGTTACATATATCCTACATGCATACATGCTATTTCACCAGTAAGAGAAATGAAGCCTTAATACCTTTTACAGTATGGATGGAGCTTGGAGAAAGCACACTCAGTGGAAAAAGTCAATCAGAAAAGGATAATGACTGGATGCCCTTATATGCATAAAAAGACAAAAAAAGGTAAAAGTATAAAGACCAGGCGAGCTCTGGTGGCCTAGTGGAAGGAAATTGCACTGCAATTCCAGAGGTGCGCGGTTCAAATCCACCAGATGCTCTGCTGAAGAAGGAGGAAAAATCGCCTCCTGTACCAGTCAGATCCAATTTGAAGGTACACACATAAAAACAGATAGACAGATGATAGATAGATAGATAGATAGATATAGATGATCGATATAGAGGATAGATGATAGATAGATAGATAGATAGATAGATAGATAGATAGATAGATAGATAGATAGATATAGAGGACAGATGATAGATAGATAGATAGATAGATAGATAGATAGATAGATAGATAGATAGATAGATAGATAAAAAATTCTTTTAAAAAATGTATAAAGACCAAAGCTTCATAATGATTGTCAGAGGCAAGAAGGAAAAAGAAAGGGTGTTAATCTTTATAGGAAAAACTATACTGATTGTACAAGTATAAAAATGTTGAATTGGCAAAAGTTCCAAGATTGATACATTCAGAACAATGAATGAAAGAAGGAATTGATGATAAAGCTGTTTATGTACAACAAAATGCCGTATGGGATTTATTTTCTTGGTCTGACATTTTAGGGTCATGGTTGAATGGGGCATACCAGATGGCTTAATAATATGTTTAATGCTTCTGTTCTACTTCCCAGTTTATCATGCAGTGTGTGCGATCTTAAAGGGTGATCAATGGCTTTACAGTTGGTGTCTGTTGACCTGTACCAAAAAGGGAGAGGAGTGAAGAACATGAGGAACGCATGGAATGTCTGGGAAATCACCTTCATGAACAACTGTCTCCTGTGCCATGACACCCGAAGAACTAGATGATAGGCTACCATCTAGGAACATTTGGGCCAAAGATCCCACAGAGTAGTCCTGAGGAAAAGGCAGTCTTGCCTTTCTGAAATGCAGAACAAAACTTCAAATTCTTATGGATTCTCTGGAGTAATGAAGAACCAACAAACCCTAATGACTACCCTGATATTATCTTTAAACCTTAAACCAAAAATATTCTCTGAAGTCTTCATAAAATGGAATTGTTTAGCTGAACCATACTTTGGGTACATGGCAAGGAGACATTGGTCCTTGGAGAAGGACATCCAGCTTGGAAGGACAGTACAGGAGATGGAGATCCTGGATAAGATGGATTGATACAGTGACTGGGGCAGTGGGGGTTGGTGTGTCAGAATCAATGAGACGGGCTCAGGACAGGGCAGGCTTCAGAGATGCTGTACATAGATAGGGTAACTAGGGGTCACAGGTGACTTGATAGCACATGACAACAACTACCAATAAAAAGGGTACACATTAATTTTTTTTTAAAAGAGGAATAAAAGT